CAACTCTAAAATAAAATAAAAAAATGAATGCAAGGCATTAAATATTCGAACCTACAAATTTCGGCAAATCAAAATATTGATGTTAACGATATTAGAGAAAAATTACTAAATGTTGAAATATCTTGAATAACGAGGTCTTGATTTTAGCTTGGTTTTTGGCCAAAACTAACTTCAAATCAACCCTAAAAAAAAAACAAATCACCTAAAAACTCATTTTTATAAAATCAAATTTATTGATTGAGATTTATTTTATTTTCCTTCCAGTGTTAAGAACAGACGGTTTGAATTTTCAAACTTAAAGAAAATATTAATTACTTGTCATCAATCAGATATGTTCTTTGTTGGCATTCATTTATTATGAGATTTGACCAAAACCAATCAAATCTCATATATAGATGAAATCATCTACCTGTCTGAATAAAAATTAAAAATTATTACGTTATCCATATTTTCATCTAATTTTTATAATTACTGTCGACTTAATCATAACTTAATTGATTAATGCATATATTTCTAGTGAAAAAGATGGAGGTTTGAATTTCATTCTACACATATTTTTGTACTAGAAAAAGCTTCCAACCTATCGGGAAATGAATATAAATTAGAGATTGAGATGAGGTTTAGGGGAAATTTGATGATTGCAATTTGATTAGAAATGGAAGATGGGCATGTGGGTTTGCTGTGGATTCGGAATCCCCACACATGACACATGCATCTATTTATTGCCATTTCGGGTACAAATCTCCTCCTCTCCTTTCCTTCTCATCACCGACTCTTATATTATTTTTATCTTTTTCCTCCAAAAATATTAATATCGTATAAAATAAACAAAAGAAATTAAAAAAGACAAAATCTTTCTTAAATTACCGAAAACGAACAATAGCGAGAGGCGAGAAGGGTAGCCACGTGTGAGTCACATGACACGTAGCTCTCAACGTCAGGCATCTCAATAATGGCGGCTGTCAGGTGAAGGGCCGAACTATTGGGCCTATGGGCCCAAACTGGGTGGGGCCTCGAAATCATTTTGACATTTTCGGGTTAGATCTGAACCGGCGGAGTTGGGCCCTATAAGCCCTTTTATGATTTACGTTTTACAAGCCCTTAAAAGTGACCAGCCAACCGACGCGATTTCGTTGGTTAGATCTAGCGGTGATGGGACTACCCACGTGTCCTTGTCGCATTAATTAAGGTTGTCTCTGGATAAGATTACCAAAGGGGATGTTAGGCCTACTTTGGGAGATCCCTACATATATTGTATTGGTATTTTGCCAGTCATCGTTACATTTTTTACAATTAGAAACAAAGATATAGAAAAATAAATTTTTTTTTATTTTAAAAATTAAATAACTGTCAAATTTTTGTTGATCCATAGTACAAAGATGACCCATCTTTATGCACCAACTATTTGGTATTATAATATAATAACAATATTTAGATGTTTATTAGTCAGCACCCATCTACATCTCGTGTATAATTGGTTTTTATATTTGGTAAAACATTTGAAAAGTTAATAAACTATCGATTAGAAAATTGAAAGTTAATTTACATACCATACATAAAAAATATAATAATAAAGAACATTTAAACATAACATTGAAAGTTTAAAAAACGGTTAGAAAGTCTTTAAGGTTCAGAAGTCTATTAGCTAGACACTTTTAATTTAACGATGACTTTTTTACCTTTTAGATAATTTTACAATTGGTTTAAAACATTATTAACATCATTTACATGTTGAAACTTTGAATATCAATTTTCACATTTGCAATGGTAAATTTTTTTAACAAGTATTTTGACCTGCCTATCTATTTAAGCCCTAAACTACAACATTATGGATTTCATTTGAAAAATTACATATATAAAAAAAGAACATCAAATAATATAATTTAAATGTGACGTAGTAAATTGTATCATACATCATATATGAATAAAGTCAAGTGGTCCAAGATAAGTGCTAGATGAGTTGAATGCATATGATCAAATAAAATAGAAGCGGCTCCTTAAAAGAGTTAGGTAAAATGAGTACATCAAGCACAACGGGGTAATTGCTAGACATAACATAATAGGTAATATTTCGTTCTAGATATAGTATCGAATCTATCAATTCTTTCTCAGAATGCTAGCTTAGATAATCGTTAAAATAGGTCTACTATCATAAAAAATCTACTGCTCTCATTCAATCAAAGGATAAAGTATGTATGCCCTTGTTGTTGTTGTTTTTTTTTTTTTGTAGCTACACATTTCAAATAATGTTGAATTAATCAATATTATACTTTCCTTTAAATACGAGTGAGATCATTATTGAACGGTGTAATATTCCTCCTCTCGAGTTTAGACTTAGGTTTCAAGAAAGTGTTATCTACACCCTTGACTCATTTCTTATAAGCAAATATAGTCTCAAATATTTAATATATCACTTTTGTAACATTCGTATTTAGGAAGTTAGACATGAAATAATTTTCTAACTAAAATTGAAAAATACTACAATTTTAGCATATAAAACATCATATCATTTCATATTAATAAATTCAGTTTAAATTACAAATGTATTGTTAAAGTTTATTTTTCTCAAAGATGTATACAAAGAAATGGACGTCTCAATGTGATGGGGAAAAAAAGCAGTCGTAGATTGAAGTTAAACTAACAAAGATGATATCAAAAGATTTATAATAATTATCTCAAACTAAAAAAAAAAAAAGAAAAAAAAGGCCATAAATTGAGAGATTTGGCCTCATCACCAACTGACGTTACCCACTTCCAAGTTCCAAATCCAACTTCATATTTGTATATCGCCTTGTCAATCTTTTCTCACACCCATTATTATTTTTTTTTAATTTTTTATTTCTCTCACACCCACTATTCATTTAGATTTAAATACTATTAAAATGTAGTTTCATTTTAATATTTATATTTTTAAAAAATTTATTTTAATTGATGTATTTTTTACTTTTATTCATTTTAATCTCTATATTTTTAAAACATCCGTTTTAATATTATACTTTTAAAAAATAACCAAGTTTGTCTCTATTGGTAAAATTTTAATAAAAAAATTATATTTAATATATATTATTTATACAAATTTAAAGGTGTCTCTCAAGAAATTTAATAAATGAAGTGGTGTGAAAATTTAATAAATGAGATAAAAATTAAATAAAAAGATCAAAATGATTTATAAAGTACAGGGACATGAATGTACCAAAACTGAAAATAAAATGATAAAAATAGGGCTTTTAAAAGTATATGAAAATTTGATTGAGATTACACTTGTTCATTTAATTGCATTGCGATTACAGTTGTTCATTTAAGAAAATGGGTCTAATTTCACATGCACTGTCCATTTCCAGATTCAACTAATCGGAGACGACGGCGGCGCAACTCAAAACGACGAAGCTGGATATAGAAAACGACAGCGGGCAATTGCACGTGCGCACATTTATGGCCGAATCGTCTGCTCCCAGACTCATTTTTTGTGGCTGTGAAAATTTTTGGGTGCCCAAAAAAAAGAAAAAGATAATTTAATTCTATTCAGTGGTCCTAATATTTTAGTTTGGTATTTACTAACCCAACCATAATCTGAATGTTTTTTGTTTTTTTAATAAATAAAGAACCATAAGATGAATGTTGAAATTGTGACATTCCTGACTTATAAATGCTTCAGTAACAGCAGAGTAAATAAGTGCTCTCTGACTTTGGTTTTAAGATCATTTAATAAATATTGCATCTTTAATTACTCAATTGCATGTCCCATATGAGAGATCTTGGATTCCATTTCCAAAATTGCTATTCAAAAAATATATATCTTTTATTTCATCTTATAATAAGAGTATTGTAGTAAAAATATGTTTGATTAATTATTCTCTCTTAAATATTTTTTGGATTATTTTTACTAGTAATATTTATAGAACACTTAAATTATTAATTTTTTTTGGTAAGGTATTATTAAACTTATTTATCCCAAAATTAATAGTTGTATAATAAATCATCTAATTTCAACCTTCTTAAAAATAAGTATACCTAATGTCTAAAAACTTTGAGCGAACACTTTCATTTCCTTGTGTATTTTTAGCATTAAAAAAGCGTTTCTACTTCCTCTTGGGCTTAATATATTTTTTATTAAAACTAAATGTGTAGATAAATAAAAATAAAACTATTTATTTCTGAGTATGCTCATGTTCAATCGTGCCTCTGTATGAAAATAAAAAATTAAAAGAAAAGAAAGAAGACAAAAAACTACAAAGAGTGCTAAGTTGCAGTAAAGTTTGTAAAAATAAAAATAAAAAACATATATACTTTTTGGGATTTTTTTTCGTATATAAATATTATAATATATATATAATTTTTTTTATAGTATCAATGAAAATCATTATTTTGAAAGAAAAAAAAAATGAAATCATGCATTTAAAATTGTTGGTCATTATTAAAAGACTACCACATACATAATAAATCGGAATATCAATACGACGTGACACTAGAGTTAATGACTACATATACTAACAAAATACACCTTCCTAGTAAAGCAACTAGAAAGCATGTGAGTCATGACAAAGAAGGGATAAACTATATAATTAATTCAGAACTAGAGGGTGGCACAAAAAATTCCCAAACCACAAAAGATACATATTTTAAATTCTGCCTTCTAATTTACGTAATTGCTCATACTTGTAGTACTGGACTTAAATTGTTTAGGGACATTTCGGATGAACATCGGCCCATTCAGATCCAGAACAAAAATGGCCCAATGAGGCCCAATCTCATTTAACCCAACAATCTGGGTCCAGTTCATCGTAATGTGAACTAAATGAGGCCCACACTTGTTTATAAAACCAAATGTCAAGAAAATTTTAACCATAAACACACTTCAAATTTTAAAAAATCATAAATCATGCCAAATTCCTCTTTTACTGTTGGCTGCATTTGTTGTATGGATTTTGCTCAAAAATCCACCAATCTGTACTTAAAAAACAATTTTACCCGATGGAGAATTATCGATCTTTTTCAAAATATAACGTTTAAACAAGAGAGACTGCAAATGGTATTGATTTACCAAAATTTGAATCGATAACAGTAAATAGGTGAAATCAAAGCTACAATGACACATCACAGAGAGAATTACACAACCAACAACCGACCTCAATAAAGAAGAGAACCAAGTAGGTCAGCTTTCCAAATTCCAGATGACCACAAACACCATATAAACCCTACAAACCAGAGCCAAAAGCCAGACTTCTTGTATAAATGTATTACTCAAAGGCATCGTCATCTTCATCAGGAAGAGGTTGTGCAGCAGCAAGTACCAACTCTGCTTCGTGCCTGAAACACAAAAAAAATTAATCGCCCTAAGTTAATGCTAGTAGTGGGGAGAGCCATTTAATATTTGACAATTTACAGTGGACCCAACCGCAGAGGGAGTCTTGAACTTGAACCTATGACTAAGCTAGACAATGTTAATCAGGTAAGTAACATCGATATCAAGCTACTTACTGTGCTTGTGCGGCCAAGTCAATTTGAACTTCAGGAGGAGCAAGGGCAGGTGATTCTACAAATTGGAGTTCGGTATTCCTGAAAGTTCCAATAAAAGATGGATTAATTTGTAAATGAGTCAACAGATGAGAGTTCATCAAAGGCGTGGACAGATCAATTAAAATTGTGTGAAACAAACACTAACAACTGAGCTTACCCAGCAAGCTTTCTGGCAAGGTACAAGAAGGGCTTCTCGAAGTTGTAATTACTTTTTGCAGAAATTTCGTAGTACTGGAGATTTTTCTTCCTGTGGAAGGTCACCTGCTTTGCCTTAACCTGCCTGTTTTTCACATCGACCTTGTTTCCACACAACACAATGGGTATGTTCTCGCAAACCCTAATACATAACAATCCCAACTAACTTTAGAACCAACATAATACAAAAATAACGGAGTAATTGATCAGCGTAATGGAAAGAATTTATTTTGAACTTTTGCTTCCATGTACTCATTATTTTTACATTCATTTCCAAATATAGCCCAGCACGTTAAAAACAACATAAAAGATACTAGAATCCAACAAATCTCGTTCAGTTGTAAATATTGTTTCCAACATTTTTCACAAGGCCACGAGTGGACAAGTGCTTGGAACTTTCCTTGAAAGAAACAAATTTCAAACACCCCTTATACACAAATGACAAACCTCGGGTTTTTAAGTGTTTCAGAACCTTAGGGTTAAATACAATACCTGCAGAGATCACGGTGCCATGTTGGTACATTCTTGTATGTTAAACGAGCAGTGACATCAAACATGATGATGGCACACTGCCCATGAATACTGAACAATACAAAAAACACAAGCATAGTTAGAAAAGATAAACTTATTAGAACAAATAAAACAGGAGACTAAGTACAAAGCAAAGTTAAATAGAAAACTAAACTTATCAGAACAGATAAAACTGAAGTAACAACAAAGCAGCAATAAGCAAACAACTAAGCTAATCAGAACAGGCAAGACAGAAGAAATAAGAACAATTTAATTGAAATCACAAGAACACTGAAATAGAGTAGGAGTGTGGGAGAGACATGGAAAACTAATCAATTAGTTGAAGTCACAAACATACTCACACCACCGCATCATATCCAAAAAGAAATGAACATGAACATGAGAACTACTCTACTCAGTATATCTTGCAACTGTTTGCAAACATGCATTTCAGCCTATAATATCAATGTTTAAAAGTACAATATGAAGAAGATATGAGATAAGAAATGATTTCTTTTGTAAAGCTTGTGAGAACTCAAACAGAAGTATAACTTGACTGTTGAAAACTCAAACTGAAGAATAACTTGACTGTTGAAAACTCAAACAGAAGAATAATACTTGTATTATCACTAGTATTATACTATATAAACAGTGTCTTTTTCACAAAAGTTCATAAAGAAAATGACTTGTTTTTAGAGACTATCAAGTGTTTTCTAAACAACTGAATTATAGAATATGAAAGGATAGAAAAATGCCTTCCAAACACTTGTATCGACTAATAGAGAACAAATTAAACATTTTCTATTGCTTCTCATTATGTCCATCATGTAACAAAATGAAAAATATTAGAAAAAATAAAATACTTGGTATAAGTACCAAAAAAGTTATCAAAGAGTTAAGACTGGATATTTGTATTTTTGTTGAACATGAACGTCTCAACGCCAAAATTGTTAGATAATCACAATTCAATTACCAAACCAGGATATTAATTAAACCAGAACTCAATAGACTGTAATGCAATTCCATCATACAAAACAAAATCATAAAAAAAAAGCACTAATTAACTTTCAGCTTGGTACATTCAGTAATCAAATCCCTCATCTAAAAAACACATTCCTGAAGACTCTCACAATAGATTTAGAACATGAAACTTGATTATAGAAAGTCCATCCAACCACTACATGGAGATGAAAAAATTTGTACGTGATTACACGCATAGGTGCATTCATGTATTCGAAAATCCAACAGATGTCAGTCACAATGAACAATCACAATAAGAAATACCACTCCAATAATATATACCAGCATATTTATAGAAATAAACCACTTACTAGTAACCATCTCTAAGTCCACCAAACTTCTCCTGACCAGCAGTGTCCCAGCAATAAAACCTTATCTTTCCATAGTTCGTAAAGAAGTCCAGTGGATGAACTTCAACTCCAATTGTCGCTATCCATAATCAAGTCAGGCCAAATATCAACAATACTTCGACCTTACAAATACATTCATTAAACGTCAAGCAATAAATAACGACGTATTTCATGCTTACGTTCATATTTCTTCTCGAACTCTCCAGTAAGATGGCGTTTAACAAAGGTCGTCTTCCCTGGATCAGAACACAGTCCTCCGTTAGAGATAAACGACATCATCGCAACAAGTAAATGTCTGTAAAAAGATATATACATAGATCTAACACTCTCTAAATTTCTAATCACACAATACATATGAAGTATGAACCACCAGTCTAACTTATACGCAATTAGAAACGAAGGAAGAAAAAAGAAATTGTATCCCACTAAAGAAGGTAGGGTTTAGTTAAACCAGCGGCGTAGCATCATACGGACATGGCGAATTGAGCTGAAGGAGATATCGAGAAAATGAAAACAATAGATGAATCTCCGTACCTGTTCCACCATCTCCGACTATTACTAGCTTGAAACTAGGGTAGTCTACGGTCGCCTGATTCGGTAGCGCCTGAACGAAGCAATGAACCGAAAATAAGAAGCATAGAAATACCGAATACCAGAGGGAAAGAGAGATCAGAGAGACGAAATCATACCATCGAAAATGTCTTATCGGCAACGGAGGATTAAGAAATGAAGAGAACTGCGAAGAATTTCAAACGACAGAGGTCGGCAATGGAGGTCGTGGGAGGCCTTATATAATCGGTCGGGGGGAGGGGTTCGACTTTTATTCGACGCGAATTTCTGCACCCTTGGATTGAAGTCCCGCTTCAAAAGGCCGCTTGAATTTCAGCCCTACACGTGGCGACGATAATATTGACGAGTTGAACTTGAGTTGTATTGGGCCTGGGCCTTGGCAGCTTCCATCAATATGGGCCAGGCCCAGACAATGATGGGCTTTGAGTTTGAACTTGAAGCAATGATACAAGTTCACGAGAACACTTGGAAGTTCCCACAGGGAGTTTTCGGTTCGATATTGGTTTGTTTGAAATCTGTCATTTTCGTATGAATTCTTTTCAATTTTATTAAAATATTGAAAATTTTGAGGTTAAAAATGACATTACATTATTGATATGGGTAAAGAAATATCAAGTAACTAGTAGTTGTAGTTGATCTTATGTTTGCTAAAAATGGTCAAACATGAAAATGTTTCTACAATTCATCTTATTAATTTTATATTAAAACCATAATAAAGTTTAATTCAAGTAAAAACATATATTTTTTAAGAGTGAGACATGTATCACGTTATGTATTATTAAGTTGTCAATTAGTTGTACCATTTATATTTTGGTTTATGTCATATTGATCTTTCTCGATTGGCTTCCACGGAACACGACGAAATACGAAAGGCAGAAGGAGAGGGACTTACTAAAACCTGCCAGGTTCAAAGATGAGAAATGAAAGGTTGCAGGCATAAGGGGAGGGTATGGATAAGTGAGAAGAAGAATAATGGCACAAGAGAGAATAGGGGAGAGATGAAATTTGAATAAGGTAAAATATATCAATATTGATGTATGCAAAAATAAAAAATGGGAAAATTTTCTAATACCATCCTAGTAGGGAAGACTTCCATAATACTTCCATTTACTTTGCGTCATACTTAAATATCTGATATGGAATTATTATTAGAAATAAAATATACAAATAAAATGAAAACTAGAAAGTTCTTCTTATAGTTTTCGTAACTCATAAAAATAATATATCTAAGACTGATGATTCCTATTATAATGGTTACACGCATATAGTTGGAATAATCACATTAATAATTAATAGTTGCATTAAAAACAAAAACACAGACTCCCTCTTTCTTAAATTACTCTCTCCCCTGTTCTTATTTACTTAAAAAAAAAGCCTTTATTTTTCTTCAGTTCACTTTCCTCTCTCTCCTCTCTTCATTCTTTTAGTTTAAAGAATATTTACAGTTTAAAGTTGGTTCTTGATATTTTATTTTTATTTGTAGGTTTATTTTTAAATAATTAAATAATTTCATTTTTCTCATCTAATCAATATTATAATTTTATTTTATTTATTAAAAATTTTGATATATTATTTTATTGGTAGCTTATTTTGTCCTATTTAATCAATATTATATTAAATTTTATTTGTTACCCATTTAAATATTTTTTATTTGTAACTTTATTCCTAAATAATTGAATAACTGTTTTGTCCAAATCTTATTTGTTATCAATATATATTAAGAAATTATAAGCATCATTATTTAAAAACAAAAAAACTTAAAAAGTAGATACTTGACAAAACTATGAATTACGGCAACATGTTTTTTTTACGAAGAATGAGACAACAACAAAAAAACAACCTTTCATTAAAAAAAATTTAATGTGAAAATGGGAAATACAACTTTTGCACTGTAAATATCCTTTAAACGAAAAGATTGCATGGACTGAAGATTTATAGAGGGAAGTGAATGGAATAAGGAGAGAGAAAGTTGAAGTTGTAAAACGATTAAAAATGATAGAAATTAAGTTGTTAGGAAGAAATAATAGAAAAAGAAAAAATATAATATTTTTTAGAGTAAAATACACTTTTAAATTTTGATATACATTTCTATTTAATCCCTAAATTTTAAAAAGGGATAACTTCGACCTGACTTCTTAAAAAACGGTTCTAAAAGATACATTGAATTAAATAACGCTGACATGGTTTGTTGAGTAGGATACTCATTTAATGGTTTGTTGAGTTGGATACTTATTTAATTTTATATTATTTTGAACATATGCATCTTTTCTCTCTCTTTTTTTTCCATCTCTTCCCCCTCTCTCTTTCTCTCTTCCCTTCTCCCCTCCTCTCTCTCCCTTTCAAAGTTCTTCCAACTACTTCGAACACAGAGAACGATGAAATCTGCACCCTCACCGGTCTCTTAGGCTAAGCAACCAATTCATGCGGCGAAACTTTGCAATCCAATCCTTCCTCATCCTCGCAATCGCAGTCCGTCGTCGCCGCCGCCTTCATCATCGTGCTTCGAAACAGATTTCCTAGGATTTTTGTTTCCGTTAGGTTTGAACCACTGCAGAATCGACCGCCGATCGCGGTGCAATTTGAAATTGCAGCTGCCGTTTGGTCTGGAATCATTCTGCTAGCGGACGGAAAGTGATTCGCGGTGGAAACAGAGCCGACAATGGACGAATCGCTGAAGAACTTGGAATCGTCGGAGCTCTTCGAATTCGTTATTGATTCTCCTTGAGAACGTCCCACCATCTTCTTTGAAATCGTCGTTTCTGAATGACCGCCACAAAGCGCTGCTCTGCTTGCTCAGTCCATGAATGCCGCCCTCCATGGCCAGAGAAAGAGAGAGAGAGAATTAGAGATGAATCAATGGAATCTACAAGCTTCGGGATGGGGAAAGAGGGGGAAGAGAGAGAGGAGCGGAAGAGGGGGAAGAGAGAACGGAAAAACAAAGACACATATGTTCCAAAAATATAAAATTAAATAAATACCCAACTCATCCATTCCGTTAGGAAGGACCAAATAGAAACCACACGATTTTTTTTTTAATACTGTAGGGTCCCTTTTATTTGTATATTTTATTTTTAATAAAAATTACATAACGGATGACAAATGGTGCAAAGTGAATGTAAGGAGTATGAAAATCTTCCCTAACGGGTAGGACTAGAAATTTGCCCAAAAACCTAAAATGATTTTTTTTCTTTTAATATTCAACACTATCCTACAAAAAAGTTAAGAAATTAAAATAACAATTCAAAGTTCAAATAATCAAATAAACCTAAAAATTCGAAAGCTAGAATGAAATTTAGATCTTTGATCCTGCCTCATTTTTTTTGTTATATATATTTATTGAGTGGTTTCTTAATTTTACCGAAGAATAGGGAATTGAAATTTATTTAATCGAGAAATTATTTTTTTTTTAAATGACAATAATAAGCCAGGAGTTATTTCCAACGAAAACTTAATCCCTACCTAGGACGCAGGATGACAATGGAAAAGCTTCTATTTCATTGCTCTATAAATTTTAGTAATCTCTCGTTCACAAGATTTTGATTGCTCATTGAATAAAGTAAAATAGAAATGAGATAGTGAAATATATAGAATCTATTATTCGCCATATAATTATACTCATACAGAAAAATAATAAAGTGAACAAAAAAGGAAAAAAAGAAAGAAAAAAAACTACAGCGACACACATTTGAGTTCCTAGCGAAAAGCAACTATAAAGTGTGAAAAAACCATTCATCCTTTCATTCTCATTAATCGATGCCTGCCATCCTCAGCTCACTATTTCATTGGCAATAAACAAATAAATGAATGACTATAAACTTGAGGATTCTCTAAAACCTTTTTCCTAACTTAAATAAAATCTTAAAATCCTTGCTTTGTATATTCTCTAATATCTCTTCCTTTCCTTCGTGTGTATGAATAAAATGAACAGTTCATGTAAAAACTTCACGTATTCTTTGAATTAGCAGCCGCTATATGAGAGAAGAAAAATGCCTTTTTGTATACTCTCCAGCCTCCTATATTGATCGTAATCCATCGTGGCTGAATTGAGTTTGGTCCAACACTTTCTTATCCTATTTGCCTTCAAGTTCTTCATTGCGGTCGAAGGGATTCTTCAGGATGAACCTGAAATTCACATGTCAAAAAATGTACTAAAGGTTAAGGAAAAATGGAGTTTGGAGCTGTGCATTAGTTTCCCTTACCTGAAAGTGCCTTTCTTCGTTGAAACTTACAGTTCTAAGCTTCAACTCTCCTCTGTGAGTTGTCATCTCATCTAATATCTCAGCATCATAGTATTCTTCATTATTCTCCTCTGTAATCGTATCAGGTGGCTCCTTTTCCTGGCCAGACATTAAAAGCAAAAATTCAGAATAAATTTCTTGAGGAGGTGCTGCTGTGGGATGGTTTCAGACGACAACTTTAAATTATGATTCATTTAATGATCCAAAGTAGTAAATAAAGTTAGACTAATCCTAACTGTAAGATTCAGGGCGCGATGCGGAGCACCAGCAGTCTCCTCATACTCTGATGCATCCAGCTCTTGAAGATGGCTAGGATGGAAGAACTTGGGGAGCACATGCTCTCTTATGCTAATGAGGAGGAAAAATGGCAGTGGGAACAGGATCCCAGCTACAGGTATCCATGTTACGCCAAAGCATATCAAGAAATATACCAACTGAAGCAGGGTAAACACAGCAATGCTCTTGAATGGCACCGATTCCACGAAAGATAAATGAGAGCCCTCCAAGACCCTGCGACACACGATGTAGCGTAATCCTAATTATATTTAAACTATAAAGCATGGTATTTAAGGACTGGATGCCAGATCCTTAATAATCCTTCGTAGACTAAGTTTAAGTAGACTTACTTGAAACGCCGGCCTGGCGTAATGAACAGCAACAACAGCCTTTCCCAAAACTGGTTTCCTGGAAGACTATCAATGGCCATGTAAGCAAAGTATCCCCAAAGAACTGAAGTGGGTATCATTTTCATTATAGGGACAGCGCAAAGTGATACAGCAACGAGGATGGACTGCAGCAAGTTGCTCATCCTTTGCTCGTTAACACGAACAGGTAAATACGCATCGATATTTTTCTCAGGATCGAATTTCCCCTTCTGATCTCCACCATTGTCACCATTCATCACTGCCTTCTTCAAGGTTTCCAGCTCCTTTGGCTGCAACAAGAGCAAAGTAAGGTGCAGGTGCATGAGATAACTCATTCTTGGAGTAAGAAAAAAGGGAGACTACAAGATTAGAGCACTACAGTTGGAGATGTGTCCATTTCAATGAACACAGCCTGCATCTTTCCGTAAATTTCAGACTTGCTCGCTTTTTGTTTCATACATTCCTTTGCTCTCTTTACCATTTTTTTTCGAATTAGCTGCAAATGATTTAAAAGTGTGAGAATCCAAAAAGAATGGGCTGAATATAGAATAGAATTCGTGATTCTTTTTGGCATTCAACGCCTACACACCTGCCGTTTGAGCACTGCAAGACTCTTGGTGTGCATTGGGGACTGTGGAAGGACACCATTAGAAGGAGGTAGTCCAAGCAACCCACAAATTAAAGTCTGTGAAATTGAAAACACAGCAATTTGTAAGCTGGTGAGAGAGCACAGTTCGGTAAAAGGATAAACACAGAAGGTAAAAGAAATCAGGTTTTAACAAATATCGACCATAATTCCGAGCAAGAAGATATCATAATGGTAGGCAGATGGTTTTTGAAGATTAAACTCTTTCTGTTGTGCCATTTGTGCTGCCACACTATGGTCGAAAAAGTATAGGCCTGCTATCATCAAGGCTGGCAGAAAAGCAGCAAAGATATAAATTACTGGAACCTTCCCCATGTCCTGCGAATTGAGCATGTCAAGTAGATTTTTAATTCTCAGTATTTGGTAATGGTAAATGGATTGGACTCACAGCATCATCCGATCTAATTTCTCCTGAACTCAACCATACGAGCAAAATATATAAAGCTATGATCCCCAAAAAGTTTATGAGCTTTCACCTTGACCACAGTCCAGTGGTACAACGAAGCTGGCTCCCAAGGTAATGGACAAACGAGTCTCCTTGGAACTCCATGAGGAACTTTGCTGGGAACTCCATAAGACAATGCTGTCCACACCACGACCATAAGCGGAATCCCATAGTCTGCAATGAAACTCCGGAGCCACCCTGCATACAGAGACATCAATTAAGAACAATCCCAATTTTAACTTTATATTTTACAGATGTTAGATCCCCGAATCCACAGTTTGTACCAGTGCCATATTTCCACGATCTCGCATGTCTACTTTTAAGGGCAGTGAAGAGTAGACCAACGGAAAAGATGATAGCAAGCAACCCATTTGTATACAACCATTCAAATTTAAACTCCAATAACTCTGGATCTTCTGCCTTGGGAATGCTGAACTCACTGATCAATCCCTGCAAATAGACTATTTAGAATGTCTCGCTCAATTCTTTTCCCACTACTTTTGTAATGAACGTCAATCAATAATACCCTGATTGCTTCTTGGAAGAAGAGAACAGCAATAAGCATGCCAAAAAGTTCCCCAGCAACCCTCGTAAATTTGGTGATGATGTTGCAAGCGTTAAAGATTGCAAGGAGGATCAGCAAAAATGCAGACCACACGCACACCCTACAACAGAAATACGAAGTAAGTACAATCCAAAATTTCCAGTAAGAGATGGGAATAAGCTGATTGTTATCTGGAAAACTAATTTCCTTACCATGCAGCCCAGGCTAAAAAGAGCTCGCCTCCTAACTCTGGTCGGCCTTTACTGAAAGTGTACAAATAAGTATACATTATAACCGTAGGTTCCGCCACTCCTAAGATCAGCAAAGGCTGTCCCCCAAAGATTGAGTGGATGATTCCACACAGTGCAGTTGAGGCTAATGTCTCCACCGTGCTCAAGCTTCCACCTAAACAGGATTAGGATTTGAAGAAAAAAAGGATTGAAATAACATTTCCAGTTTATAAAAGAACTCCTAATCAAGAAACAAGCACGGGCATATTTTCTATTGTTTTTTGTGTAATTTTTGTTCACAGGAAAATCTACATCAGAAAGAAGACGACGCACCTGTATCCCTACTAAGTTGCTCTCCGAAGGCAATAACAGGAAGAGCAGAGGCGAAAAAAATGTACATAGTAGGAGCTAAAATCCTGGGATACGCAAAAAAGAAAAAGAAAGAACACCATGGAAGATTAGAACATTGTAAGATACTCAGACCATGTATGAAATCTGTTCTTGAATAGGCATTTTTATGGCAGGGAAAAATCACCTGACGCCTGAACATAGCGCACATGTCCAATCCTGCTTATAGCAGGCTGCCCTTCCCTTGAAATCTTTTACTATTCCTTCGAWTGGAGTCCCCATCACTGGAGTCAACAAAAGCAACTGTAGCAATTAAAAATCAGTTCGCGATGCAACTGCAAGTTCTTTTGACATTCATAAATCATAAATCCCAGAACAAGAAACAAGGCACACACATATATATACACCCCTGAAGAGGCAAAAGGATGGAGAAGATAGAATAAAACAAAAGGTATGTGAATTCCAAAACCGCGTGAGATTCTCACGAGACAAGGCAGAAAGAAACAAAGGAAACGTTTCAAACTCACCACATTATTTGAATGACAGAATATTGGTGTGCATGTGATGTGGTGAGAAATTCATTAAATAGCAGCAGAAAGCAAGCAGCATAAATTCTGCTTAATGCCAACAAAGATTTGACCAATTAATACGAACAAATGAATCTCAACTGGTAGGGCCGGCCAATTGCCAAAAACCATAATATCAACACGATGAACTGTCACCGATTAACCTTTTCCAAAAGTTACAATTACAATAAATAAACAAACACAAGCAGATTTCAACAAACACGATCGCATATGAACAGAGAATGATGAACCTGGAGGATGCTGCGATCGAGTGGCAATGTATTAAAGAAAAAGTAACGTTGGGGGGCTGAACACCGCAGAAATCGACCGGAAGTTGACCGGCGAAGTATGATGCGGTGAGAGCCGGGGGGTATATGAGTTTGGATTCTGAAAAATAATTGTGCTGATAGAATTTCAATTTCGTGGTCTCATTTTTGTTTGGGTTTGAGCCGAGTTCTCTCCCATGCGAGAGAGGTGGTGGGAAGGACAAATCTTACTGCCACCGTCACCCTCGGCCTTTTTTGATGACTGAAAACCACAACTTCTAAATGTGGGCCCTACAAAATCGCCCAAACGCTTACTACTCGGCGCGACGACGAATTTCGTTAGTGGGCCCGGCGGTTTCGCTCTGATCTGGATTCCGCTTCTCGCCGGGGAGAACTAATTGAGTCTATCCACTGCATCCGGGACTACGCCGGATCTCCTGCAACTCCCACATCACACCCGTCCATCACCCCACTCCTTGTACACAGATTTAGTCTCTCTTTTTTTTTTTAATATTATTATTTTTAGTTTAACAACCTGTGGCTGTGGGGCGGGGATTCAATATACTGATATTTTGGTATATAAGTTGAGCACTGCTCATGTTGCCTCGTAAAATATTATTTTGATGTAGTTTTATTATAACCTTTATATTTTAAATTATCAAATTTAGCTTTGGACCTTTAAATCTAAAATACTATTTTAAATATTTGAGTTAAATTTGAATATTTAAAAATATAAAGACTAAAGTCTAATTAGTCTCAAAATATAAGCAGCCATTTATATGTATTTTCAAATATAACGTAAAGTTTAAAATTTACAAGCCCAAATTAAATTAAATTTAAATTTAAATGTAGTAAAATCAGACCCAAAAAATTACGATTAGATGGTGGTTTGTAATATTTTATTTTATTTGTAGACATTGTAGTTTTTTTCTTGTTGATAGTGCGAGAAACGTAACTAAAGAATGAGTAGCGATAACGAGATTGTTTGTTGAACAACCAAGTTCCATTATTAGAAGAAAAATGCAGGTATTTTCAATGGCAATTGTATGTTAGATTAAATAGGCGGTTTCAAAAAAAATAAAAATTTAAACAAATAGTTGTTTTTTTAAACTATATTTTTCTGTTAAAAAGAAAATCCATTTCCGAACAGTCTTTCTGTTCCAACATGGAGAAAGCGCGCAGACTCATCATAAGATTGTGAAGGCGCCCCCATGGAATCGATTTACCCATAAAATATAATTATGGGTTTTCTCCGCGTTTTTTTTTTGTTTTTTTGCGGTTGCCAGGTGTAATCTTCGTCCGCGTACAGCTGAGCAGAAGGTCCGTCGTGTTTTCGCCGGCACTCAGCGGCGCCGCACCGACAGATGGCAAGATGTCGTCGACGGTCAAACCAGCCGTCGTCCTTTATTCACACACCGACATTCCAAACTCCACATCAATTGGACCTGGACGTGGATATTAACCCTCGCCAACCAATTTGACATTTCCTTTATTTTTCATATTTTATACATCTTTTTATTTTACATTAAATAATGCTTGATAGATATGAATACCGCGATATAACACAAATTTATAATATAAATAAATTATTTTTTTATTGTCACTTAATTTTTAGATCACTTCTTCGCCTCCCCCTACCTCTAAGGTCGGATCGCTACTTATAGCGTGGAGTTGTTCCAGAACTTTCCATAGCTAACCCTAATTCACCGTT